ACTTTTAAAAAATAAAGAAAGGGGGGGAGAAACCTGAAATTCCCCCTTTCCCCCACCCCCCAGAAAATCAAGGGGGAGGGAATCAGAACCATTTTATCTTGACCCCCTGGACTTCCTTCTCTAGCCCCCAAATGCATCCTTGCCCACTTCAAGAATGCCTTGGACCCCCAGTCTCCCCCCAAGGCATAATTTGGTGAACTTAGAGCAGCGAAGGGAGTTGGTGAAGTCTTTGGTGCCCCCCCCTCATGAGTCCCACGTTTAAAATGCGGCCCTTCTCTCTTCGCTCCTAGGCATGTTTGCGGTCGTTTTTGCTGGTCTCCTGGCAGCCGTGAAGGACGTGGTGGCCTACATCTTCACCAACGACAAGTAAGATGCCCCTCACAACTTTTTTCTTCCTAAAGATGCCTTCTCCAGGCTGCCCCAGGAGAGGAATGAATGAAGGGGAGCCTGCCCGTTGTGCCTCAGCGCGTGCTCCAGTTCTGCAGAGCGCGGTTGTGGTCATTCCATTTCGGTGATGAATGGGATGGCATCAGGCATGTCTTCCTGTTCTAGGGGAGGGGAGGAGGATGCCGGTCGCAACTCTTTGTGAGTCACAGCGACGGGCACGCCTCCTCCCCAGTCGCCACCCAGCATGTAAGAACAGGTGGAGCCGACGGAAGGGTTCCCTCGCATCTAGTTAAAAGAAAGCCAAGCAAGAGTTGAATTGATGCTCTTTGATTCCCTTAATGGTCTTAACTCCAGAATTTTGCCCAGGGGCAAATTTTGGCCATGCAGGCTGTAAGGTAGCTGTGGCGTCCTTGGGGTTCTCTGAGCTTGGCTGTTTTCTTGCAGACTAGGTAAGGTTACTAGGCTAGGTAACATCTTCAGTGCTAGAAGGGAGGGGGGTTTCCTCTCTGTTTGTGTACAGTGGCTTGCCCTGCCAGTGTTGGTGGGGGTGTTGTTTTCTTCTTGGTAGTTCCTTGATTAGGGTATTGTTCTCTGCTTGATCATTTGTCTGGCGTTAATCCCTGCTTATCTGGGTGATGATTGCTGGCGAGGAGGTGATCTGGTCTTTTTGTCTCTTTTGAATAGTGGGTAGATGTTGTTTACCCCTATGTGCCTATTGACGGCTGACTTGTCTGAGTGCCAAGCTTCCAGGAGTTCCCTCGCATTTTTGGATTTAGCTTGGTCTAGGATGCTGACAGTTTCCCAGCTGCAACTGTGGTTGGGTCTGTCCACGTGTTGTGAGATGAAGGAGTTTCC